GCAAGAGTGTGTATCTTCTCAATGCAAGCATGTACAAGCCCTATATCATACTGCATACTTTTCTCTTGGTTCTTGGAATTGGTAGATTGAATCTTGCTTCAGAGATATGGCCCCATACCTCAAGGATTTTGGTTTGACATAAAGTGCAACTTTACAAAAATGGCATTTTACCTTTTTCCAAATAAGGATTAATCTTGTATGCAATGTCCAAGTGACCAAGATAACATCTTAACTCAATGGTTATTCATTAAATTATGGAGTATAAACTGGTTTTGAGGCCTGCAAGCTAGTACCAAGCATGCTGATTTGAAAATGCAAGTTTGTATGAACATGTATTGGTCATGGACAAGAGTGAGTTTTTGCCAACTTCAAGCATTCGATTCTCTCTAACCACAAGGGTGTTTGAGTATTTTTTGGACAATTTGGAAATCTTGGAACATGTACTATAATCCATCTTTGAAATTCAACTTGAAACTACAAGTGGAACTATGTGAAAAATGGCCAAGAAGATGGGTCAAAATCCTGCCTAGATTAGGGCAAATTTTCTCTAAGTTAAAAGTTTTAGGTACCCTTGTTCCAAAAATCATAACTTGAGATACAAGCCTCTTTTGAGAAAACTTTGTGAATAAAAGTTGTAGACTTTGTGATGTAATACAACTTTCATGTTTCAATTTTTATTTGAATCCATTTGCATCTTGGTGAAAAAATGGGACAAAGTTAGGAAAAAATAAGAAAATTTCATAACTTAGAAAAATTCTAAGTTATGAAAATTTTCCATTTTAAACCCTAATTTGTATTTTTGGGTTTCTTGATGAACAAGTTTCATAATTTTACATGTCTTGATGAAAAATAACTCTTGGCACTAGATTTTGACCAAAAAGTCAAAGTTTGACTTTTCAGTGTACAGTCAAATTTTGATCAGTTGACTGAAAAATTCATCTGTCAATCCTATGCATTTGAGATCTTTTGAACTTGTTGGATGGGTCAAGACAATTTCATTGAGTCCTTGAGTCCATGTGTGAGCTTGATTTGCCATTGGCTAGGTCAAACAGTCAAAAATTGCCTTTGTGCAGTCAAAACCCTAAAAATGACCATTTTGCCCTTTTGGTGATCTGATCAAATTTCTTGTGGAATTGTGATCCAAACTTGATCAAATGGTTCATGGGAATTCATAATGTTGATGTGGGTCAAAATTTATGAGGTTTGACTGTCAATTGGCCACAGTTGACTTTTTCCCCAATACAACTGATTTTTAGGTCAACTGTCCAATTGACTGGGCAAAAATTTCAATCAAGGCTTGAAACTTGGTATGGACAAACTTATGAGTCCAACATGGAGTATGAAAGTCACTTTGGGCATTGTAGGTCAAAACATCCTTGTGCAAACTCAAACCCTAATTTAGGTCAATAGTGCAAGGAGGTGTCTTGAGCAGAGCAAACCCTAGCTTGATCTTGAGTTCCAAGAGTCTTGTGATGAGAAATGTTGATGAAATGAGAGGGAAAATTTTGGGGTACAACAGTAACATCTAAAGAATGGACAAGCTCAGCATATGCCAAAGAAGCAAAGGCAAAATAGTTTGTGGATCAAGTTTTAGATTCTGGATTTTGGAGTAAATGTGCTGATGTAGTTAAACTCACTGAACCACTTGCGTGTGTGTTGCGTATTGTTGATAGTGAAGATAAACATATTATGGTAATTCTATACAAATCTATAGTCAAAGCTAGAGAGGAGATGGTGAATAGGTTTCAAATAAATAAGAAGAAAGTGGATCCTTACTTGAAAATCTTAGATAAATGTTGGGATTCACAGCTCCACAAAAATCTTCATGTTGCCGGTTATTGGTCGAATCCAGCTTGTAGATATAATGATGTAGAATTTGAAAAACATGCATCCACAACATCAGGACTTTTAGATGTCATTGAAAAGCATGCTAATGGAAATTCTGAACTTCGATTGAAGTTAACAGATGAGATGAGAATATTCAAAGACGGTGAATTAGATTTTGGAAGGAAATCAGTCGTGGATGAATGATGTATTGTGAGGGCAGGTAATTTCATAAATTCTAACTCTTGATATATATTTTATTTTATATTTCAATATATTTATAAATTTATTAAATCACGTGGTATAAACAGATCAATGGTGGGAAACTTATGGCACTTGTACACCAACTTTGCAAAGGTTAGCTATTCGTATTTTAAGCCAAACTTGTAGTGCTTCGGGTTGTGAACGCAATTGGAGTATATTTAAGCATATTCATTCCAAAAAAAGAAATAGATTGGAGCACCAAAATCTTAATGATTTAGTGTTTGTTCGTTACAACTCGAGACTTCAAAATAGGTATTATTATGGTTATTTTTCTCTGATCATTATATTTTTATATTTAAATACATATACTTAGATTTAATTCATGTGTGCTTAGGAAAATAAGAAATGGGAGTTATGATCCTATCAATATTGAAACAATTGCCGACCATTCTAGTTGGGTATTAGAGGATTCACCATCTCTCTTAACCAATGAAGAGTTGGAAAGAATTGCGGAATGACCTTGCAAATTTGACCATCCAACCAATTTCAAGTGATATTGGTATGTTCTAATATGAGTATAATATAATTTGTGATTGTGAATCAATTTAATGTCTCATATTTACCATATCTAAATTTTTTTTGTTAATTATTTTTTAAAATATTGTTATAGATCAAATAGATTTAGATGAGGATGAAGATGGAGATATGGGTAATGCACAAGATACTATTGTTGATACTATGAATCAAGAAAAAGCAACACCAGAGAAGATGAAGTTGGTGGAGAAGACAATGAAGTTGAAGATGGATATGAATATCAAAATTATGACAATTTGACTTCATGGACATGAAAAATTATGGATCGTTGAGTATGGATTTTTGTGACTTATTATAATACTATAACTTATGAATTGTTAAGTTTCTATCACTTCTTTGAATTTATAATTTGCTACTTTAAGTTTCTATCACTTATTTTGATTGTTACTAATACTTTTGTTTATTCTAAATTATTTGAATTTATAATTTTCTATATTATTATAGTTACAAATTTCAGGTAATGAATATATTTTTTATAGAAACCGGGTCAAAAGCCATACGGTCTGACCAGTGACCCACTGGTCCGACCAGTAACCCAGTGACCTAGTAACTTTACCGAGTCGATCACCGGTCTGGGTTTTAAAACATTGCTCCCTTGCCAAACAGATTTGTGGCTCCCTGTAGAATTCTTGGGGGTTTTAATGCAGTGAACAGAGCTTATGAAAATATGATAAAGGTCACTTGAAATCACGGGGAACCAGATCACTTGGACTAATGATTGAAAAGGTCATTGTTGTGATAATGACAACACTTTGATATGTAGGGACAAAGAAGAATGACAACCAAATAAATGGTCTCAAGCAATAAAAATAACAATAGCCGAGAACACAAGAAATTTGTTTATCCAGTTATGTCAAGTGATCCACGTCGGAGGGAGAGAGCATCTCACCAATTTACTATACTCCAAAAATTGTTACAAGAGATTACAAATGAATTACAAGAAAATAAACTTCCAAGTTCACAAGAACACACCTTATTTTCTACCAAAGTGTTTTCCAATATATTCAATTCTCAAAAGAAGAATCACGCAAATCCAAGGTGTTTAAAGTGTTTATCAATCCCTATGATAACCTCAAAAGGAGGTCAAGTCCCTAAAATATAACTCTAAGAGTTTTACCTTTTGCTTTCTCAATAAGATTTCTACCTTATGAAACTTGTACCTAACAAATGAGAAGAAAAAAACCATATTTATAACTAACAAAATATTAACGGGCCCAAGATATGACTCATTAACAAACAAATCCACAAACAAGTCCAAAACTATCAATACCCAAATACGCTTCTTTTTTCTTTCTCTTTTCTCACTTGAGGTTTTAAGGCATATTACAATAACTCTCCACCTTGACTTTAAACTGGTGGTGATGTCAATTTAACCACCAAGCATCTTGTTGCTTTCTCCAAAACTTGAATCACTCTTCAACAAATTTGATCAAGTCTAATCAATGCTTGGCCTTGATCTCAGCAATGATTTGGTGAACATATCAGTTGAATTCTCTTCTGAAGACACTTTCTGAACCTGGATCTCTTTTGACTCTATCATGTCCCTTATAAAGTGTAAATGAATGTAAATGTGTTTTTCCCTCTCATGATAAATTTGATGATTAGCCAAGTGAATGACACTTTGAGTGTCACAATTTATCTTCACACATTCTTGAGTAATTCCTAACTCCCAATCATGCTATGGGTTCCTTGACCCCTTCAACAAGGGAAATATATTTTGTTTGAGTAGTGGATAATGCGACCAATAATTGTTGGTTTACCTTCCAGCTTATAGTTGTCCCAAACAATGTAAACACAAAATCTGATAAAGATTTTCTAGTGTCTATATTACCTGCATAGTCAGAATCTATAAATCCTCTAAAGCGTCTTCCTCTTTAGTTGACCTTGTGTACTTTAAACCACCCTTTAGCGAACCATTCGAATACGTTATCACCCACTCCAAAGCTTCCCAATGAACCTGGCCAGGATTTGTAATAAACGACTTATTATGATGACTGCATATGCTAAGTCTGGTCTACTACAAACCATACCATATTTAATGCTTTCAACCCCACTTGCATAGGGAGTAATCTCCATTATCTTTTTTCTTTGTCAGTTTGAGGATATTGTTTAAACGAAAGCTTTGTGTGATGATCCAAAGGAGTATTGACAATTTTAGCATCTTGTATTCTAAACCTCTCTACCACTTTCTTCAAGTAACTATATTGAGATACTTAAGGACTTTTCTCAACAAGAAATTGTCTCTATACATGACCAGAACCACAATCTCTAACTCCACCTCAATCTCCAACTCCAACTCCACCTCAATCTCCTACACAATCACTAGGACGCACACCCTCACCTAAACATGACTAGAACCTTTTTATAGGTCATGTCATATGCCCTCTCCCAAACCAACCTCAGAATCAGAAATAGATGCATCATATTCTGATAACATTGGCCAGATACCTAAGGACGTTTCTCAACAAGAAATTGTCCCTAGAGCATCTGTCTTAAAGGAACTAGCAAGTCACCTAATTGGTGAGTTACCTAATGAACAAAACTAGCTAGCATGTTTCTCTGATTCTGACCAACCCTGACCCTTAAACATCATGTTTAAATTCCCTATAGAAGTTTCCAGTTCTAAATCAAGCTTTAGCTTAAACACTTGCTCTGAGTTTGATAACTTTGAATTTAGGCCTCTTGTGGTTGAACCTCTTCAAGTTATTCATATTGAAACCAAACCCTCTGACCCCCAACAAAATGTCCAAACCAGTTATGTTGAATCACACCTAACAAAGCTTGCTCAGACTGAAATTCTAGTACAATCTGAAACTGAACAAATAATCCAAGGCTAAACTTTACCAGAACCCCAAACCCAACATGAACCTAAACCTCAAATAAATTTTGTTCAGTCTCAATCCGAAGTTCAATCTGCATCTGAACTTCAGACTGGAGCTGAGCAAGACACTTAAGAACAAACCAACATTGAAAACCACCTTGTTCAATGTAACACCCCAAATCTACCCCACAGTTATATTAAAATCAGAGTGCCAAAATTTCCGCAAACATGGGGCATTACATTCTCATTCCAAAAACCAACAACATAAAAACCTATCATAATAGATACATAGCACATATTGATCCAAAGAACTTATAACAATTTATTAGTCTTCAAAAGTATTTCAACTTGATTCCATAAATATGCAGCGTATTCATAACTTTAAAACTTCAAAGGAAACATAGCATCTTTTAAAAAACTTAATTCAAAGAAAACAACTTCTTAAAACAACAACTTGAAATAAACTTAAAACATCATAAAATCAAATAAGCGTTCATTCCCCCCCCCCCCCCCCCCCCCGAGTGCTACGTATCAGAGCGACGACACCAACAAGCTACTAAGTCTCTACTCCTCGTTACCTGCACGTTACCAGTATAAAGGCAACGGTGAAACAAATAAAGGGGTGAGACATCGAATAATATAAATAAGATTATGATAATTAATATATTAGACAAGAGCATTATAAACTTCATTGCTTCTCAACAACACACAACAATCAATAAACATACACAATTATCATTAGCGATTCAAAGTGCAATTCAAATGCGACACAACTGTGCATATGCATGTGGTACCAACAGGGCTTCAGCCCTCTTCACTAATTGCCAATTAATAGAGGCACAAGGCATAAGCCTACTTCACAAATTCCGCCAATACAGGCCTTCACAAAATGCAAATGTATGAGACTCATGTAACATACAACATCACATATATATCATTCACCACAAACTTCATTATGAGGAATTCGCCTACATTCATGCATCACTGGAAATAAGCCTAACACTTCACATATTCAATCACATCTCAATCATCTCAAACATCTCAATTAACAACATCTCATAACATCAAAATAATTTATTAAACATCATTTATTCATCATAATTATCAAGCACAACTCTAATAATCACATCTCACTAATAACTCAGTTGTATATTAATAATACAGTAGGCCATACTATTATTCTACAGTTCTACTTCACTTCTGTCAGTAATCCTACCGTCATAATTCTAACAACAGCCTCTAACATCTCAAAATTCATCATTCTGTCCTAAAAACAGCACAACGGTCATCTACGGGAATTAATCCTAAGTCCTAAATTAGTTACTGGAATTACACCTCTTAATCATCATTTTAATCATCTAAAATAGATGTCATCACGTTAGCTAATCAACGCTTCGAACGGCATCTCAAACAGCATCCTATAACTCAAGTTACAGCAACTTAAAAACTGATCTTGTCAAAATTATTCAGTATGCATCGACACAAAACACTATGCATCGACTCATCCTGCTTCTTCTTCACACTATGAGTCGACGCATCCCCCTATGGATCGACTCATTCTGCTTCAAAACCCAGCATGTATCGACACATGCATCGTACCGGTCGACTCATCCTGAGTCTCACACACTCATGCATCGACTCATCCTTCCTTTGCGTCGACTCATCCTTAGTCTTGTACTCATTATGTATCAACGAAACCCTCCATGCATCGACTCATCCTGAGTCCAGCAGCCTCCTTGCATCGACTCATCCAGTTTGAGGTTGATGCATCCTGCGATTTACTGCATAATTTTCTGCGTTTCTACTGTATTTTGCTACGGGAATTATACTACAGTCCTAAAAACCTTATTTCTGCTCATGATAATTCATCACCTAATCATTATACCCTATTACTTCATTGATCAAACAACATAATTTATTCCATACGAAAATTCAACACAAAATTCAACACAGGTAACGGATAATTACACAACCCCGATCCTACATACTAACCATCATATTCCCGGTTATAAAATCCGAACCCCACCCTTACCTTTTGGTTTTTCGATCGGTCGAATTCTCCGGTTGAAACTGCAACTGGTTTGACGACAACTTTTCTAAATTTACTTGCCTCCCACTTGGTGCCTCCAAAACCTTGTTTCTTCTACTGCTACGTGATAACTGTTTTTGCTTGGTTGCTAACCTCTGTATATTATAACCTAATATAATAATAGGTCTACTAGTAACTTTAATGGGCCTATTAATTCTATTCCTAATCTTGCTATTTCACAAACCCCACTTGACTCAACTAATAAAATAACATTCTACCAAAATCAACATTAAATCCAATATTAATTTCTCTTGACTAAATTGACTAATTATTTGATTAACCATTCTAACAATCCAATAATGATCCTAATAATTATTTCGATAATTCCTTCTTCGACTAAATTCCAACAATTTAAATCCTCAATAATTCATTTAAATAATTTAATGAATTTCTGGGCGTTACAACTCTCCCCCACTTAGAATATTTTCGTCCTCGAAAATTCATCCGACACCACTTCCCTTAACTTTGCCTCCACCTATAGCCTTCCGATATAATCACAACTTACTAAAATTAAAATCTAACGCACACGTGCAATTCTATTTCAACTCATCCAACAAAAATAATAACAACTAACGAAGTTCTATCGATGAAACACGTACCTCTGGTACCTCTGTCCTCGTTTCCCATTGGAGTTTCCACCAACACAAACACAAACAATGGTAAAAAAAATAAGTAACAAGACTCGATTGTTAAAGACTCAACAACTTTGGCCGGACGGACCGACCTGCTATGATACCACTAATGTAACACCCCAAATCTACCCCACAGTTATATTAAAATTAGAGTGTCAAAATTTCCCCAAACATGGGGCATTACATTCTCATTCCAAAAACCAAAAACATAAAAACCTATCATAATAGATACATAGCACATATTAACCCAAAGAACTTATAAAAATTTATTAGTCTTCAAAAGTATTTCAACTTGATTCCATAAATATGCAGCAGATTCATAACTTTAAAACTTCAAAGGAAACATAGCATCTTTTAAACAACTTAATTCAAAGAAAACAACTTCTTAAAACAACAACTTAAAATAAACTTAAAACATCATAAAATCAAATAAGCGTTCATCCCTCCCCCCCCCCCCCCCCCAGAGTGCTACGTATCAGAGCGACGAACCAACAAGCTACTAAGTCTCTACTCCTCGTACCTGCACGTTACCAGTATAAAGGCAACGGCAAAACAAATAAAGGGGTGAGACATAGAATAATATAAATAAGATTATGATAATTAATATATTAGACAAGAGCATTATAAACTTCACTGCTTCTCAACAATACACAACAATCAATAAACATTCACAATTATCATTAGCGATTCAAAGTGCAATTCGAATGCGACACAACTGTGCATATGTATGCATATGTATGTGGTACCAATAGGGCTTCAGCCCTCTTCACTAATTGCCAATTAATAGAGGCACAAGGCATAAGCCTACTTCACAAATCCGCCAATACAGGCCTTCACAAAATGCAAATGTATGAGACTCATGTAACATACAACATCACATATATATCATTCACCACAAACTTCATTACGAGGCATTCGCCTACATCCCTGCATCACTGGCAATAAGCCTAACACTTCACATATTCAATCACATCTCAATCATCTCAAACATCTCAATTAACAACATCTCATAACATCAAAATAATTTATTAAACATCATTTATTCATCATAATTATCAAGCACAACTCTAATAATCACATCTCTCTAATAACTCAGTTGTATATTAATAATACAGTCGGCCATACTATTATTCTGCAGTTCTACTTCACTCCTGTCATTAATCCTACCGTCATAATTCTAACAGCAGCCTCTAACATCTCAAAATTCATCATTCTATCCTAAAAACAACACAACGGTCATCTACGGGAATTAATCCTAAGTCCTAAATTAGTTACTGGAATTACACCTCTTAATCATCATTTTAATCATCTAAAATAGAGTTCATCGCGTTAGCTAGTCAACGCTTCGAACGGCATCTCAAACAGCATCCTACAACTCAAGTTACAGCAACTTAAAAACTGATCATGTCAAAATTATTCAGTATGCATCGACACAAAACACTATGCATTGACTCATCCTGCTTCTTCTTCATGCTATGAGTCGACGCATCCCCCTATGGATCGACTCATTCTGCTTCAAAACCTAGCATGTATCGACACATGCATCGTACAAGTCGACTCATCCTGAGTCTCACACACTCATGCATCGACACATACTTCCTTTGCGTCGACTCATCCTTAGTCTTGTACTCATTATGTATCGACGCAACCCTTCATGCATCGACTCATCCTGAGTCCAGCAGCCTCCTTGCATCGACTCATCCAGTTTGAGGTCGATGCATCCTGCGATTTACTGCATAATTTTCTGCGTTTCTACTGTATTTTGCTACGGGAATTATACTACAGTCCTAAAAACCTTATTTCTGATCATGATAATTCATCACCTAATCATTATACCCTATTACTTCATTGATCAAACAACATAATTTATTCCATACGAAAATTCAACACAAAATTCAACACAGGTAACGGATAATTACACAACCCCGATCCTACATACTAACCATCATATTCCCGGTTATAAAATCCGAACCCCACCCTTACCTTTTGGTTTTTCGGTCGGTCGAATTCTCCGGTTGAAACTGCAACTTGTTTGATAACAACTTCTCTAAATTTACTTGCCTCCCACTTGGTGCCTCCAAAACCTTGTTTCTTCTACTGCTACGTGATAACTGTTTTTGCTTGGTTGCTAACCTCTATATATTATAACCTAATATAATAATAGGTCTACTAGTAACTTTAATGGGCCTATTAATTCTATTCCTAATCTTGCTATTTCACACACCCCACTTGACCCAACTAATAAAATAACATTCTACGAAAATCAACATTAAATCCAATATTAATTTCTCTTGA